ACATTGATCTGTCTCGGCGGCATTGATTCGAAAGATATATCCATTGAGTCTTGCCATACCCGTGCGGAGCTGGGCCAGCACGCTCGCCTCTTTCCACGATAATCGGTCATACAGCTGTCGCGTGTGTTTTCCCGGAAGGGCTTTATCCACTCGTCTGGAATGTTTGCCGATGCTCTCGGGGAGGTTACTGCTGGGGATTGCTTGGGCACGCGCAATCTTTAGAGTCGTCGATTTCATTTTGGGGACCTGTCTTTGCAGGATAGCATCTTCTTGCGTCGCTGCTCTAGCTTGATCTTTCGCGAGACCTAGCAGTTTGTTGTCCTCGCTGGTGGGGATCCATCGGATGCTGATATGATTTCCATGCCTCTGCAGTCGTCCCATAAACTTGTAGATTTGACAGACAAATTCCTGGCCCGACTGTTGTCGAGGGTTCGTCAACGTGAGAGCCGCCGCTTTGTTGCTCGTGATCAGTGTGATCCTGAAGACTTTCAATCCCACGAGTGTCTTCAGTGTATGCGCCATTGCCGCCAGCTCCGCGGAGAATGGGTTTTGCTCTGTTCCCGCGCCCAACGTGACAGACAAGGTCTTCAGTCTCACTTTCCGATAGCGAGGTGGTTATTTCTCGATCGCCACTCCAAACCCCACCAGCTCATTCCGCGCCGAGCTGCTGACCGCGATCTGCATTGACCCGCCTGGTGCAATTAATCCCTTAGAAATGGACTCATCAGTCCGTACGCGTGCTTCCCATGGGGCCAGTGTAAACGGGTTGATGGTTTCTAGTGATTCCATCGCGATGTTTTTCAGCGCGTCCGCTACTTGATATAGTGGCGAGCGGTGGTATCTCCTGAACTTCCGGATCCGATCTGTGTTTCTGCGAAGAGGATTGGTTTCTGGGAGTGTGTGGAGGTCTGCCCACATCTTCACGGCTCGTCTCCAGAATCGGTGTTGTGCTGTTGCAATGTCAGCCTCGGCCTCCGCTACGCTGGTCGCAACTGTGAGGAATGTCCCCACAATTGCTTGTGCTCCTACCCTTTGCACTCGGTTGATCGGTCCGATGTTCTTATTCTTGAATGCATGCATCCAAACATTCGACGCGTAGTCCACTACTGGAGCCACGGTCGCTGTGAAGAGCTGCCTTGCGGTCGCTGGGGAGAGGCCACGAAGCCGTTGTAGCTCCATCGCAGCCTCCAAGCCCTTGGATGCTGCTCTTGCAATATGCTCCTTGTACAGTCGGTTGGTTGGTTGGTTGATATCATTTACCCTGACCCCTCGCAAAGAAAAGCGATATACAGGATACAACAACTATATATCTCCGTGTACGTACATGTCGAGTGTTCTACTTCCTGAAAACGAACTTAGAGCCTCGTCAAGGCCTGCCGTGGCCTAATTGCCGTTCCCGTTGTTAGGCTGCCCTCGTGGCGCGCGACTGCGGAATCGCTGTGACGCCTCTGCGAAGTCCAAGACGGCGTTGACCGTCCTGGTCCGCGAGACGGTGTCTGGTTTACCTTTCCTACCTTCCGTTGAACCCCCCAGCAGGCTCGATATGCAATTGAATGCGTCTCCAACTTCTTTCCTCAGCTCCCTTCTTAGTTCCCTCAATCTCGGACAATCCACCAGCACATGAGTGACCGTTTCTTGCGCGCCGCAAGCGCAGTGATCGTCGTCGCGGAATTGGTGTGCCTTAGCGTAGGTGGACAACCAATTGTGGCCAGTACGCAGCTGCGTGAGCAGGTACGCCCTGTTTCTAGGCAGACTACCATACAATTTCCTGGTGTATATGGCCGGTAGTGTGTTGTCGATTTTTCGCAGGTGGCTGCCTTTCGGGGTGGACTTCCATTCGTGCGCCCACTGAGCGGAAATCTTGTCTCGGATCAATGCTTTCTTCCTCGTGAGCAGAGGGCGGAAGGGGTGTGTTTTCCCTGGGTGTGCGGCTCCCTTAGCTAGCCGATCTGCTGCGTCGTTTCCCGCATTCTCACAGTGCCCCGGCAGCCATTGCAAGCGGAGCGCAACCCCCTCCGCTTGAACCTCTGTCGCTGCCTGGAGGATTGCGTGGATGATTCGTTGTCCTGATTTGTTCCCGGGGTTTCGGGTTGCTTGCAGGGCAGATTTGCTGTCGCAGAGCATCGTGGCTGTGGTTGTTCCTCCGCTGGGCCTGGGACGGGCGTGGGCGATCTTAAACACCGTGCTGATTGCTTGAAAAATGCCTATTAATTCCGCTACGTGGACCGACCACCGGTCCATTGGTCCCACCTGGACCTGCTGCGATTCTATGACCTCGAGGTTGTCGTTAAGCGCCACAACGGCGGCTCCCAGGTGACCGTCACGTCCAGAGGCGTCCGAGTAGACGACTAAGTCGGATGTGGCTCGCACTACTTCGGCACGTTCTCTAGCTGTCTCCCGGTCTGGCTCGACCTCAATCTCTGCGAAGGGCTCGGCTCGCCATGGTGGCAGTGGTCTTGGGTCGATTGTCTCTAATTCGTCTTCCTTGTACAGTACTTCAGTCGCGTGTCCATCAGGACCCCCAGGATTTTGACCTTGTTCTTAGGCTCGACCGTCTGTCCCTTGACCGTGAACGGCTCTTGATCCACTTTGCGAGCCTTGGGTGCGAAATGTATAATCGCCGTTTTGTCTGCTTCAAAAGTTGCTCCGCTCCTCTTCTCCCAGTCGAGCGCTTCATTGATGACGGTTGTAATACCTTCCCGATTACTCTGCACGGTTGGCCCTGTCACCCACGCGGTGAAGTCATCCACGAAGGCAATTGCTCCTCCTTGGCTGTCAAGCGGTCTCTGCACGAGGTCGGCGTTGAAGAAGAGAAATAGGATCGGAGACAGGGGCGAGCCCTGAGGCAGTCCAGGCTGTGGCAGGTCCTGAATCCCCGACAGTTGCCCATTGATCTGGATGGCCGCCGTTCGTCCCGAGCAGAACGCCTCGACCCACCGAAGCAGAGCCTCCGGTATACCTCGCGCTTTCATCCTCTGGATCAGCCGTTTCTTACAGACCCCATTGTAGGCCCCTTTGACATCGAAGCTGATCAGACTCAGCACCCGTCGCCCTCGCCATGCTGCGTAGATTTGCTCCTGTAGGAGTAAGAGTGCCTGCTCCGCGGACCGCTGCTTTCGGGCCCCGAAGTGGCTGGTCGGGAGCAGGCCGTGGGTCTCCACTGCGTACGAGATTCTTTCTGCTACCACCGATTCTAGGATCCTGCCTAACGTGGCGAGCAGTGAGATCGGCCTCCATGCTTTGGCAATGGTGTAGTCTTCCTTGTTCGGTTTCCTCAGCGGGATGATCTTTGCGTGTCTCCACTGTTTCGGCAGCGTGCCTTCTTCCAGTGACGCCTGGAAGAGATCGAGGACCCGGTGTTTGACCGTGGGCCAGGTCATCTTCCACACCATGGCTGGTAGGCCATCATCGCCTGGCGCCTTCCAAGACTTCGTTGCGAGTAACTGCCGCTCTACCTCTTCCATGGTGATGGCCAAGAGACATGACTACACAGCCAAGAGTGCCCGTGGCAAAGCCTTAACGAGTTCTCGGAACTGATGTAAAGCAGCCTCACCAGGCCCGCTTGTTCAGGCCACTGCCCTGGTTTTCGGCACGCACATCTTTCGATGGACGCCCTCCAGATATTGAGGCCCCGGCAAAAACCTCTCACCCCAGGTGTCTCCAGGTTTGCTCCTTAAGCATGCATCATCAGCATTTCAGCTAGAACGACATCGCATCCATCGCCCAGCCGCAGGTTCTCAGTGCGAGTGAGATAGTAAGACAGGTCGGACCTGCCCCACTAGGACGACACCACTTTGGCTGGTTAATTTCAGGTCCTCAGTGCGAGTGAGGTAGCTGTTTCTGTCCGTTTGCACACCGACACGCGCGTCCGTCCTCTCGGGCCACATAGACAGTCTCGTCGGGTCCTCTCGACTCGTCCGTCACTGCCATTATGTGCCACGCCCCACAAGGAGAAATCTCCCTGCTTCGCGTTACCAGCCGAGATCTCTCTCTGCCAGCCGACCGTGTCTCGCAAAGGCAGCTAGGAGTATCCCCATTGGCCTTGCAGGATACCCTCGCTGTCCTTCACTAACCAAGCTTGTGTCCCTGGCTTTGCAGCCCTCTTAAACACCCGTGGCTGTGCCTTAACGAGTCCGTCGAGGGTCGTCGCCAGACAGTGCATCCCGCTTGGAAGAGGCCACAGGCTGTCCAGATCAGAGTTGCCCGTAGCTTCGCTTTAACGAGGTTCCGACCCAGGCCATTCCATGTAGCTCCCGAGCGATCTACTCAGTCTGCTGCGCCGCTAGTTGTACGGTACAACATAGCCTTCTAGTTTAATACTCGTCAATGCTACTCTTATAGACCCTCCTACGAATTCCTTGCTATGCTCTTGCTGCTCGCGACCTACGCAGACGCCTTTATATAAAACATGTCTCGCCTGCCGTCATAACGCCTACCGGCAGAGACACCGTCATCGTTTGCTTACTGCTGGCGAGACATCAGTGTCTCACCCTACAATACAATATCCGCAGCCTTCCTCGGACTTGCTCTTACCTACACAACGTACGCTCTGTTCGAATTGCGCCCGACCCTGGCAGCATCCCCGATTTAGAACGTGCGATCGTTGTCGCCAGTGGAAACGAAATCACCACCGGCTCGCCACCATTCAGGAAAGGCTCTCTTCTTCGGTGTTCCCTGCTGCCCACCAAGACGGCTATTCTACTCCCAGTGTACCTCGTCCACGCCGAAGACCCCGCTCTTTGCCAGTTCAACGACCGGACGACACCAGCCAAAGAATACTTCAAGCACAGGTGCCCCACGACGCTTTAAGACAGGCCATCGGGTTTTTGTGTGATGAGCACCACCGTCATGCGGTTGCTTCCCAATCATTCCCCCCAGATATCTCGACCTCTGATATACGGGAATCCGTTTCCAGATAGGAGGAAGAGATTTCGACCGCTTCGAAAGCGTCCGTGTGTAGTTCTTGCGGTAGATTTGTTCCATTTGCTGATCTACACCACATGGATGACGAGGATCCTTTCTTACTTCCCCTAAGTGGTGTTCTCGATCACTGCGGCCGGCATGAACAATCGTGGAGTCTGTGCTCTCCCTGTCACAGAGCCCTCGGTCGCGCCGCCATCCCCAAGTTCTCCGCCAAAAATCTGGTCAATGTTACTCTCTGCCAGAATTACCCATCTCCCCTAGAGGATCTCACCTTAACTGAGGAGTATGCCATCGCAAGATGTCATCCGCTAGGTCTCATTGTGAAGTTGCGTCCAGGCGGCCGCCTGTCCTCAATCAACCACCGCGCGCTGCGAGGTCACTTCATTGTCATCCCACAGGACCCAGGTCCGCTGCTTCGGATCCTGCCGAGTCCGGAATTGAGGTTGGACAACCTCACCAAAGTTTTCTGGGTAGGAAATCGCCCCCCATCAGACGCTGACCTGAGACCGTATCTGGTTATTCGGAAACACAAGGTACTAACGGCTTTGCAATATCTTGTTCGCCATAATCGTCTGTATCTTGGGTAAACCATTAACCAACCGCTGATGGATAACTGGGGCGATGAATTCATCCCCCCAGAGCTACGGCATAATATTATCCCCCTTGACGAGCCAGACCACCGTGAACGTGAAGGATACACGGTGAACTTGGCGCAGGGTAATTATGAGAATGATCTCCAAGCAGCACAAGACGAAGCGGCACAGGATCAACGCTTTGACCCTACTGACGGTACACACTTCCTGACTGGCTCCGTTTCCACAGACATCAACGGAGAACGCCAGAACCCAGACGTGTGCATGCTGGACACCTTGCTCGACGTGGTCACCAGCAGATCGCGCCTAGCCGAACAATGCGACATAGACAGTCCTGCTGCCGTATACAGCCGTTCCATTGCCGGCCAACGGACTCCAGCAATTTCTTATACAACCCGTGCTCAGGTGGCATTAATGGATCAGTGGTCGGATCCTCATTACTTTACCGCCGCCTTCCCCACCTTATTCCCGGAGGGTGTTGGAGGCCATTTGGAAGACCGTGCCATCCCGGTGTCGTTGAGTTCTCTTGCTGAGTGGGCATTAAATCATCACAGCAGAAGGTGAACGGATTTGGCGCTGTATTTTTCGCCTTAGCTAACAATTATAGGTTCGCCCAGCACAAGACTTTTATGTATTTGTTATTCGACAAGTTGCAGCTTCGGAGGTCGTCACTGGGCAATGCGTTCTTGGTTAAGCGGCGGTATTGGTGGTCTGCTGAACATGACATCGCCTCCCTCACAGTGGACCAACTACAAAAAGCCGCGGAAGCCATCGCTGCTGGCCAAAGCGTCGACGACCCGGTCATTCGGCGCCTTCAACAACACATTGTTACTGTTGGTATGCATGTTCCTGGATCTTTCTCCCAGAAGCTGAAGATGCGCTCTGAGATTCGAGGATTAATCATTCGATACGGAATGCCCGCCTTTTGGATTACCATTAACCCCTCGGACTTACGGAATCCCCTGGTTCTCACTCTGGCGGGCGTAGAATTCCCTGGAGATATCCCGGCCAGAGCACACGCCGGGATCCGTGATACTGTAGCCACATCCAACCCGGTGGTAGTTGCTGAATTCTTTCACTGCATCTGTAAAGCGGTCCTGCGGGGTCTGCTTACCACTGGAACTGGCCAACTCGGAATTCTTGGAGATCTTTCAAATCATTATGGTGTGGTGGAAACCAACGGCCGAGGTACACAAGGTTGGTCGAAAACAGAATTCCAATCAAGTTCTTTACAGTAAAGTACTGTACACATTGCGCAAATGTACTGGAGCTTGCAACACCAAACATGGACCCTTCTACAACGGCTCTCAATTCAATGCGGGTAGCACAATGATTGATCCTGCGCTACAGTAAGGCTCGGCATGTACCTTGACGAGGATGGTCTTGGTGCCATAATGTTTATATGATTCTCGCGGATCTGGAGGTATGTAAAAGTCTTTGTGGAAGAATAGATGTTAGGTAGGAATGAGAGTGGAATGGAGAGGGGCTCCATCAAGGTCGCGGTGTATAGACAATATGCGTAATATACAGTATTTTACGTTATTCCCTCGTTCTAGTTTCTTAATGTGTCTATTCTTAGGAAACGATTATGTACAGCCTTTCCTTATACAGACTAGCGTATACTCGGATACGGGCCGAGAAACAAAGTCTGTGTGTCCAAGGGGTAATCTGTTTTCGAAGTCGTCTTCTGTGCTGCCGCGCGGGCCACTCCTTGTACACAACTATATGTAACACTGTACTTAAATGTATGTGTACCACTGCAATCATTAAACCTGTCACCTGAAACTGAAGTATGACGTGAGGAAGGAGATCTTCCGGAATCTGTGCATCTACGCGTCGAGATACTACCCACCATTGCAAGACATCGGGAGACCTTGCAAAGGTTGACACTAAAATCGTACTCTCAACTCTTCAATGCAATAGTTTTCGCTTGTGATATTCAAGAAAATGGAGTGTGAAATAACTCTTCCTCAATGTCACGGTTTTCTTTGATGGGTCTTGAAGGTTCTTCTGGCCGAGGTTTCTATTTACCACCCAGCCTAATTCTTGAGACTCTTGATTCCCTTCGACAAGTTCAATGCAGGGTCCGCAGAGTCCTCATTCCCCCCGGATCCTGTCTCTAGGGATTTCAGTGATCTCCTGCGTCGCAATGTCGACATTTGCTGGTACCACGGCAAGCATTATTAACCACGGGTTTTGCATGTAGCTGAGTACCATGTCCCTCATAAGGGTGATATCCAGATTTAAAGTCAAGCCAGGTGTCGTATCTTTGAAATTCCGCGGAGGACCAATCACAGGACAATCGTAAAGGTCCATGAATCTTCAATCGTAGAACATCAGGGGAAAACGTGGGCAGGTCGTGTTCCACTATATTTAATAGCCCCACCGCTAGGGAACCTTAGGCTGGATTCATTGCTTGGGCTCGACGAATAGACAAACCTCAGTCATCGTGGTCTCGAACTCCATCTCATCCCAGCATCGTGGGTTGTGGAGATGATGGACTCGATGACTTTCTGCATTTTCAAGATCGTGTCTCTTCTGAATATGACTTGCATTCAAAATCGGGTGCATAAGCCAGCCTTTCGAGGAAATTTTAGTTTTGTCAGGTAGTCTTGTAGGCAAATCAGACGAATAATGTAGAGAGGCCCCGGCCAACAATGAGAAAAAATTAACGAAAATATTGGTTTTGCGGTATCATTTCAATTCTTGATAAGCTATGGCCGCACAACTGTCTCAAACAAAATACCCTTCGAGCACCATGGATGCGGAATCGTAGCGCGTCTAGTTAATCCAGGCTGGTTGATGCTTTAGAAGGCGAATTCTGATATAGGGGTCGAAAATGAAGATTGCATTCGTTTCCACTCGTCACCGTTGTGTGTTGCAAAATGAAACATATAACAAAAGAATTTAGGCCACCGTGCCAGATATCACTCCATCATAGGTATGTGGAAATTCGAAACGGGTCACAAAGTTGATGAATTCCAGGGCATCCCCTTCAACGTCCTTCAAACCAGAGAATGACGCCTTAGGTCTTCCTTTGCTGTCCCACATCCGGACGTGCGGGGATAACGATAGAAAAATTATGAGTGGCCGCCCTGGATCACAGAGAAAGAAATAGCCGGTGTTTGTTTGCTATCTGCGGTAGGGTATAAGGGAATTCAACCCCATATCAGAACGTGACAAGTTATAACGTGTCAATACAAAGCACCTACTTCAGCAATTAAAAGAGCTACTTTCCAAGGGCTTGTAATAATAATCCCAAGCTTCAGGCATCGGATGCGAAGGCCCAGTGCGTGAATTCGTGACTCCCATTCCTAAACAGGGTTCGAAAGTAATTAACATAGGTAGCGAATATGAATGAAAGAAGATGGCCTCCTCAAAACCGTGCCCTTTCTTGTACTCCTATCTCAAGTACTAGCTCAAGATCTTCAGGTCCACCTCATCAGGCTCCCAGGCTAAAACCCTCGTTATCGTCTCTTCCAGTTTCATCTCGACTACCTTTTCCATGCTTGCTCTTTCGTCTTCAGTAAGAAGATCTATCCGTTCTTTCCAACGGTCGTCTTCGGTACTCGTTCCGGGTCCAAAAAATCGGCCATCAAGCTTTTTCCAGAACACAGCGTCGAACGCGAAGTTTTTCCTCGCCGCGTAGGTGACCCAAAAATCACCGCTCTCCCAGCTTTGTTGCATTGGCCTGGAAAGCCTTTGTTTATCTTTCAGTCTGCCGCGGTCTATGGCCACGTCCTCCCGCTCGCGTAGCACCTTCAAGAACGTCTGAAGGCGTGACTCATACACCTTTATCCACGCCTCCATCCCATCCGGCCAATATTCTGGTTGCTCAAGAAGCAGCCACCACGGGGGGGCGTGAGAGAACTCCACTGGTGCAGCGTAAGTGAATTCCCAGTCCACAACCCCTACGATTTGAAGGTGTTCGTCGACCAAGACGTTGGAGGGCCGAAGATCGTCACACCAGATGTTAAACGGCCCGAGATTCGTGGAAGAAGTCGTGAATCGACCCTCCTTAGCGAGCTTACGGAACAACAATCTTGCAATATACCTTCGTCGACAGTCATCCGCGGAATCGACGGCATCGTTCTGTTGGTGTGTGAGATGCTCGAGGTGGAGATCTGCTAGTGTATTGAAGTAGGATGACGCTGATTGAAAAGTTTCGTTCACCCTTGGCAACTTCAAGCGTGGTAGAGTCCCTAGACGGACGAGTTCGTTCGCGTTATAAGATAGTGGTCTTTGCGCCACCTCCCAAGTGAAATCGTCAACCTGGACCAATGATCCTATCCTAGGCAGCCGTAGCGTGGACAACTGAAGCAAAATATCCGCAAACTGCCCATATAGCAGTTCAAGCTTGGCGTCATCGACGTGTGGGTCGAGAATCGGACGATCCTTAACCGTAAATCCAGGGGTGTTAAGGACATCGCTCAGGTCCATTACATGGTCAATGTATTCCATGATGATAAATGGACCAAGGCCGAGAGGATTTTCCTCTTTGGTGCCCCAGTGCAGGACAAATGGTACGGGAATCGTCGTATGCTGTTGAATATACCTAATTATATCGACTTCATTGCGCACCTTCTCATCGGGAAACATGGTAGCACCAGGTTTGGGAAATCGAATGATTGCAGAACCGCCGTCCTCAAACTTCATCCTGAATGAAACATTGAACGCCCCAGCTTTTGGATCACACAGCTCAATGGGCACCCCTCTTCGATGTTTCAGGATAAATTCACCTATAGCCATCAAAGTCTCTTCCTTGAACAATTCGTGTACCCAGGCGTCTTGGATGGCCTCACTCCGTTCCCACGCGACATCGTCGAAGCACATGCGAGTCCGCATCTCTGAAACTGTGGGTGGAATGGACAAGAACGCAAATACACCAGATGATTGATGATTGAAGAGGACGACGTGGCGCTCTTAAAAGGGGGTGAGCACAGACTTTGGGCTTTCCGTGCGTGCTGATGCGGCTCCACTTCTTCTACGCAGCCACCAATGAGAATACATACTTAAACGCTGGTGGCCCTACAGTGGCACAGCAATAGTCTGTTGCTCACCGCTCCCATCCACGCCTTCCCAAAATAGGCTAGTACACCCCGCGTGCTATGAATCGTGGCCCATGGAGCTTTTTCGTACGGCAGAATCACGGCAGAAAATACCGATGAATAAGGGTGGTCATAGACATTGGTGGTGTACATATCCTTTCATGAAAGGATATAACAAAATTTCAGACAACTAACCTTTCCCTTGATATTTCAAGATACCGCCTGTAGAGCCTATGAGTTGTGGCTGTCGCCTACTCAAATCTTTGGTGTTAAGGCACTAAACTTGATTTTGTTCGGCTCAATCGCTGTTTCCGATGCCACCCTTGCACGTTCTAGCATCTAGCGGAACTCTTGAAACAATCGTTGCGCAACATATCACAAACTGAGTGGTAAATAGGACAGCAACTCGGCGCTTTCTGGTACATCGCTCATGGAATCCTAAAATATCGAAATGTTAAACAGTTAGTCTTTGATAGGCGATGAGCATTCCTTTATGCCCCGGCGCCTACTTGACCGCGGCGCTAAGGACTTATCCGATTCAAGCTCCAATTGGAGACCTGAATCTGCCTGGAAGAGCAAAGGCGCTTACAGTACGCCCGTGCGGTGATCCGAGAAGAACGGCAGCCTGGTCATTATAAAAGCAGACTCATCTCCCAGGGAGACTCACAGACCAGAGTTTTCATCGATCTCAAGCGTTCTCGGGGTGTTTGCGTCTACCGTGAGCACATCTACTTCCAGACCCAGCACATTACTTCGGTCTTAATAGAAAGACGTATGCCTCCCCCTTTCGGCCATCTTGCAAGTCTAATTTTATATAGATACCTACCAAGCTTCCCCAGTATGGCATCGAACAAGGATAGCGACGGCAAAGCCCGTGCGGAGACCAGCTTCCAGCTTGGTATTTCGGCATCAAACGCAGGGCCCCTCCAGGAGCAGGGCAAGGCTTCAGGGGAACGCCGCGGCAAATCCTACGGTCCAGAATCGTTTAAAATTCCCAATGCGGCCGAGGAAACTCGGCTCACCGAGGCCGCGAAAGTTTCCGCCGAGAAGCGCCAGCACGTCACCGAGAAGGTTTCCAAGGAATATATGGAGAGTTGAGGGGCGCTAGGAGTGGAGGTAGAGTTTTGTCTGCATCTGGGGCTAAGTCCGTTATTGAAAGTATATTCAAGCCTGAGTGCTTTCCAGACTTAAGTCTGCGTCATTATCGTATTCAGTAATCCGTGGGCGAACTGCATATCAAGTCGGTAACGTGTATTACATCCGGACGTATAACAAGGTATATACATTCTCTTCGTACCTCGCAACATATGTACACGATTAACATCCCTTGGTGCACGCATTAGTACTCTGGAGGCCGTTTTGTGGATATTACGGAAAATTAACACCACATTCCCGCTGATCCAAATCTCGCCGCCTATTGAATGAGCAAAAGAAGCATGTTGTCGATTTACAGCTGTATCGGCCCGTGCCGTAGACTAGCATTGAACCTCCGGGAAGAACAAGAATCTTACTTGGTCGGAAGTGACGAGACTGTTTGCACAGAAATTCCCTGGAAGGAGCAAGGGTCTCTACAGGTGTACTGGAGCACGACACTCAAGAAACAGCGGCTCTCTTTGGTGGATGTCACGTAGAAAGTGCCATCTTTATCAACTATGCCCATACCCTCGTCTGTGGAGGCTTGGAGACACCCCGCGCGCTATCAGGGCGACATTCCCTTTTGTTTGGAAGCGGAAATCCGGCAGATGAGATAGTTCCCAGTTATTGCGAATTGAGGCCACCAATTCAATGATTCAGAGTCATCTAACACCATTTCATTGGCCCCCAAAAGAAGGCAAAGAGGGGAAGGTACTGGGCAAGATACGACGACACGTTTAGGGAGGCGGGGAGCGTGACCTCTCGCCCTCGATGGCTCCTCCCAACCCCAAACGGTCAGTCCTCGTCGTTCTCCACTCCCTCACTTTTCTATTCTTCCTACCTCTCTGTGGCGCAAATCTTTGCCCCTGCATTTTCCTCCGCTGGGCGGTTAAATAATGCTCATCATTGGCCGTAGACCTCACCTAGCCAGGAAGGATAACAAACCACGCTGAGGAGTTTCAGATTGGCGTACCCACCACTTCATACCGCGGCTAAAGTTATAAATTTATTGGATAGAGGTAGGTGTCTTAAATAGGGAGTCAATATACCTGAGGCTCGGCGGGCATTTTAGGCGCCAACTGAAGGGGCTTTGTTGCCTAAAACTGAAGCCCGTCTGGCTAGCCATGGGTAATTTTTCTTCAGGTTGATCTCTGGCAAAACCCTTTTCCAAGAGGCAGGGTTGACTTGGTCACACTCTAAATTAATTGAATGAAATGTTACAATTGGATTTGGACCTTCTGCTCTATGAGAACGCAGTGGCCCGCAATTAGATTGAATGGCCCGTCATACAAATAAACTACATCTCAGCCAATATTGCGCGTCCTTTATCTAGCATCTGATCCCATCAATTTCATCCAATTCTTATTCCATATTCTCTTATCTCCATAAAAGACTCCGAATTATCACTTTTGCAAATTCGGAATTTCGCGACTACAATGTCCGGAGAAGTCTCACGCCGCTATCAGCGGCCCTGTGTTCTGCCGCGCCAGCAAGCGAAGAACTGCCAGCGTGCTCAATCGTGTTCCGATCGTACACCAAGCCGTGCCCATTGACCTTACCTAAGTTACATAAGTATTGCAGGCATGCTAAAAGTTGCCGCCGATCTCCAATAGCAATGTGGTTCTCGACTACCAATAAATCCTTTTCGACATCGAAATTGACACGGCAAGGACCCCGCAATTTGAGAATATCAATCAACATTTCCCATGAAGGCTGCTGATCAGCAGCGTCAAGAATTTCCGCAACTCGAACGATTTCCTGCTTCAATGAATTGTCTGCCCTCTCGAAATGGAGGACTATACTCATAAGCTTGCCCACAGGTGAAGAAGTCTTTAGAAAAATGCCACAGTGGGAGGAAATTTGATTTTTGTCGTCGAGATCGGATGTTTCTGCTTGTGGAATGGAGTGGGATGCTCCCGAGAAGGAAAATAACGACTCAGATTCATCCACTTGTTCACCGTAACAGTTTCGAGATGTGCAGTCCTCCTGCAGGATTGATCGTTTGCAAGTTCGAGATTTGACCAATGCCCCAGACATAACGGGAACGGAGGTGGATTCAGTTATACCGGTGAGCGATACTCCAGCGGACGAATCAGGTGGTGCAACTTTGTGTGGAATTTGCAGTCGCCGGTTTATATCTTGCTTGATTGCAGCTTCCATGGTATTGATAAGATTCCTTATAATTAATTTGTATGAGGTGAAGATTCTTTTGTTTCCTGTAGAAGGAGGAGCCCATGTGGAATAGAGCTTTTGATGACAAGCGGAAGTTGAGAAAGAAAGTGGGTGATTAGCAAGAAATCTGTCACAGAGATAGCAAGATTTCATGCTGACTCCTATAAACCGAAAAGGAGGTATGCGCTGAGGGTTTTCGTCGTAAAACCTTACAAGCTATAACTCAGCATGAACAGCAAATCGAGTTGGGCACTGTTGTGGGAAATACTCGTGGGGATCTCCCTTTCCTCTCCAGATGAGTGAAAGATGGCGTAAATACTCCTCTTCTTTCGAACCATCAAGTCTCCGGAGGACGAGACTAAGGTTAACCCCCTTGCTTTGTATAGGCACTCTTTCGGGGTTGGGCACCGAATCGACAGTGATTTTATTGAGTAGTGTGGGTAGCTCCTTGGCAAGTTGTGCAAATGCTCGAGATGCGATTCCATAGCGGCCCAATTTGAGTATGATCAATAACCATTTCTCTAATTGACCGGTATCTGTACGAAAAGCAGCATTAAGAAACTCTGCATGGTCGTGTTTTGCTTTTTGTGCGTGCCGAAGGAGCTGCATTAACGACTGTCCATTCTCAAAATCCACTCCATCCATTGACGGAATACCTTCCAGCCATTCGAAGAATGGCTCCAGATCGTGCTGTGGCACACCAGCCAATCGTTTTGAAATACGGCTTTCAAGCTCCGAATGTGAGAACACTGCGGATTTGTGACATTCTTGCAAATCTCTAACATATTGACGTATCCGTGGCATGTCTATTGAAATAATCTTGAGTAGGACGGATGTCTCGTCCGTTTCTTCTGGTCCTTAGTCACTAAAGCAGACATGACAAGCAAAGATCTCGAACGCACCCCCACGTGCCATTCTGGCGAGGATTTCGACAATATCTCGGCCATTAGATAGAACAGCATCTCGAACTCCATTATTACAAGCGATTCTGATAGTTGTACCTTCGGACAGGTTTTCTTCCATGCATGCTGCTGAGACGCTATCGCCACCTTTGCGACTCGCGCAAATCAATGCGAAGGAGTCAAGGAATTTTCGCTTGAGAAGATGGGTCCTGTTAGCACTTGAGCATTCCTTCAAGTCCAGGCTATGCACTGTAGGAACCCCTCGCACATCATCCAAGGCTCTCAGGAGTAAGACCGCTTCCAAGAACCGCATCTGAAGGTTCCCAGATAGAGAAAGCATCACCATATTCTTCAAGCCATTACCGGATATAAGACGCTTTTTCGAAATAGAAACGTCTATTTGCATGGGAGATGTTGTTGATTAATAATTTAAAGGCCAAAGTCAAAGACGTCATCGGCTCCTGCCAAGCGTACGCTCCAAATACGATTCAATTGCCACCCAAGTGCCAGAGTTCGTGAAAGAACTTCTCGAGACATATTTCAAGGCTCCTTTGTGAAGGGAGTTTGCTAGTTGTGGCCTCCGTAGACCAATGTTGCCATTACAGGTTAGGTGTGGGAGGTGCGGTCGAGGGAAAGGGATGTAGAAGTTGTACTTGGGACACTACGGTACCGCAGGCTAATCCGAGAAACGGAAAGAAGATATTGTATAAAGGTTGTCTTCGAAAAAACCAAAACTGATGCAATTTAGAAAACAACAAATTTAGCTCGTAAATAATTTGTTGCATTTTTTGCTGGAGCAGAAAGCACGACAGATTATTTCAGGGCCACGATCCTCCAGAGAAGCCTTCTACATCTTTCCGAATTTAGCAAAAACCTTCAAACGAGCCGCCGATACCTCGGCATTTCGACTCCAGTCTTTCTTGCATTCACCAAATCGTGCCCACTCAATAACAGTGCTATCCATCATCGCTACCGCCAGGTCAAATAAAAACTGTGGTACTGACTGCAGTAAAGAGTTCTGGAACGGTGCTGGACTTTCTTCGTCTTCAGTTCTCAGCCGTGTGAGATGATGCATAGTTACTCTGACTGCCAAATCTCGCAGTCCTCTGTCCTGTGATGGAGTCGAGTTATAGATCTCCACTATCCCGCTAGGAAAGGAGCTTGCATCAAGTCGTTGCAGCAGCTCTTGTTCGACTTTTCTTTTGGAAAGACCTTTGAGACCTTCAATGAACATGCGATCTGCAAGGGCATACATTGAAATGTGAAATGATAGGGGATCACAACCGTACGAGGCGAAGTCACTTGTTGATTTTGACGTATTTAGGGAGTCTTGATCTCCCTGAATGACCATCTCTTGATAGGCAGAATCTGTATTGGCTGTGTCAGATTGGGTCAGGTCTGTCGGTACATCCTTCAAAGTGAAGGGCGCAGATTCTGACAAAGTGTCCACTTGATAATCTAAAGTATAGAGATATTCAATCATCTGTCTGACCAAGGCCGGCTCCTCTTGTAGCGTTACTTTATTGGCGTAGGATTCCTAGGGTGGGTTTGTTAGAAGTTCTCTCAAAGTCTTCTTATTGCCGTCCTTCGCACCTGGAACTTTCCATTACATGCCTTTGCAAAAAAAGCCGACCGGGGGCAGATAATACTCTTATGCACCCAGTAAACCTGATCACCGCATTTAATAGTGAGATCGCTATATTGCGGGTCAAGACGCAGCCTATACGTTGGTTAGCAAGAACCAAACTTGAAATAGATATTGAGTATCATACTTCGCTAGTGAGGCGAGAAGCTCTTGCCTAGGAAAAGCTTCTTGGTCGGGAGAGAGAGTACCGTCACAATTAAGCTCGGGCTGATTCTCGCCATCTGTCAGGTCCCTTCGTGGTGACCTTCTGAAATGACCTTTTCTGGGTGCCATGAGGGAAAGAAAACCGGTGGTGATTACATGTTGAAGTTACCTATCCTTTGTGAGGTGAAATATAGCCCAATCTCTAATTATGTCACGATGATGCGAGCGAGTTATTGACACTCTAACTCACGCGACCTAATTTGCACTCTTCATGGGCGAGACTCTAAATTTGGTTCATGACAGGCGTCAAAGAAGATGACCAAGCATGCTGACAATCCCTAAGTGGCCCCTTACATAAATGGTAATTTATGTAAAGGGCCGGTTAAGGTTTTTGTTACAAACCCCACAAGGCGCGGCTAATTGCAGAGCAACCGAGAGCCAATCAACCCCCAAGTACGGCGGCCGGTTAAGGCCATTCACCAAAACTGATAAGAAACCCTTCCGCCCTAATCACCGCTCCTATAAGAAGCCTAGCCTACTACCCTATAAGGGATAGTCTACCTATAGGCGGGAAAAAGTCTTGGCATCCCCATCAAAAAGTCCCGGGGTCCTATACAAACTTAACACCCTCTAAGTATCTTAGAGATAGATATTGTGAGCCAGTTGGTGACGTCCCTTTTGAACCGGTCGATATTCCTCACCAGTTAATTCAATCCCTCAAGAAACGCCCTCCACGCAGGACCTAGGCTACTCCTTGTATGGCCGAAGACGAAGACCTTCCTGGCGCCTCTTGGAGTCGCTAGGGAAGGTATATGCGACAGGGGCATTGCATGCAACCGCCAGAAAGGATGTTGAGCCCTTGACCTTCCACGAAGCTGTGTTGGAGCCCAATCAGCTCGAATGGTGGGCTGCGACCCAGAAAGAATATGCTTCGCTTCTCGAGCATGACACATGGGAAGAAGCGTATTGATTCGAATGCGGACTGGATTTGTGCAGCCACTGTTGTAGCGGAGGTCGTACCGTAAACACCCGATGGAAGGCAGACGATAATCACATTAGGACCATGTATCTGGCCTAGGATATAGGTATTACCATCGTGTGGCTTCGCTGGTAAGTCATGATATCTCTCGTCCAGCATTGCCGCTGCTGCGGTCATCTACAAAGGAAGGGAACTGTTGTTGGATAAGACTGTGATCTTGGCTTCAGGACTACAAATACGTAGCTAACCTTGCAAACTTCTCTTGTATTACTACGCTCTCGATATGTACGAACCAGAATCTCAGACCTTTTCAAATACCAGTACTCGAAATCCCACCTCTACTTTCTCGACTGGAATGGCTGAATTCGCGCGTGGGATTAAAGCCCTCTGTACTGTACACAGTACAGTATAGTGGCACAACATAGGGATAGGTAATTGGAGTTTCCGAGCTGATCTATGTACATAGTCTGAAGCAGTTTCAGTGAGCATTCGGCTTTAAATTCTCCTTCAGAAACTTGGTCAATGCTGCACAAAACTCCTTACTTTGGGGTACATAATGGCCTCGAAAAAACTCAAACAACTGTACATTATGAAAATGACTTGCAAGAGATTTGGTCTGCTCAGGTGTAATCACTGCATCTAGACTCCCACTTACATGGAGACTTGGGGTGAGGATCTTAGTTCGATAGAACCCTTCGTAATATGAATTCTGTAGCTTAAACCCACTGAGACATATGGTGAATTGGAACGGCGAGTGGCTAGTCTGTTAAGCGTCAGTGATTTCATTAATGAACGAGATTTCGCACGGTCCCGCATAGAGTACGATATACCTTCCGAGATAAGCCGCACATTGGCTCTCTTTTCTCCAATATTGATGTTACAAGGGCTGCCATGGCTGCCCCAGAGGAAAAGCCAACTATGCCGATGAAGGGCCCTTTCCGCTCAAGGGTATCCTGAATGTACTCTAAGGACCGCGCGAGGCCCCGGATTCGGTCTGCCTCCTCACCATAGCCCCAAACCCTGTACCAATCTCGGTCCTCTCTATCGGGGTAAGCGGGCCACACACCAGACAGGAACTCAAAGTCAAATGGGGCCTCATCAGATGCGTCTTGAAAGGCCTTACGAAGACGACGAGTCTTTGGATAAAAGATCTCAGCAGATTGTCCATGTCCTTTTCAAGACAAGTTTCAGCAATTAAGGACAACTTAGTGCAGCGGCTTTCTTACCATGGAGCATGAGAACACGAGGTGCTGTTCCTGCCATTTGGGAGATATCCTTTGGGTGACACTTTCTGATGGAATTTGGTTCTTGAAATTCGTCGTACTTGAGGCCAATGTCTTCGGACACCTAATATACTTAATCTGAGGCAGTGCTAGTATGTGGTCTAAATAGAAAGTAAATAAGGCCAAGGCCCCATATCTCACACGTACCAATGCTTCTGTTCTTTGGCCAACCATTACAGTCGCGATTCATCACCGGATGGAATTCAGGGCGAAAATCGGCTCACTGTGTTTTTCCAAAAGATTAATTCATTCTAACCATGTACATGCTTGTACATTCAATGTTGCACACCCATAGCAAGCGAGCCTGTCCTAAATGAGGATCCAGAATCTCGGAATCGTCAAAGTACTACAATTGCGCACTTTCGTACAAGCCCACTTATGTGTAGTCAACCCAATGAAAAGCTCAAGTAATGGATCTCTAATTCAATTTCTACTAATATATCATGCTAAATTAACCACTTGAATTTGCTTCTGGGAAATATTGAGAATGATAATGCCCGATAAGACACCTTCCGAATGTGTTTTTACTTAGTCAGTATGCTCACTTTGTTTTGACCAACTTTTGCTCGCATTTACCCGACTTTGAACACTTAGTATTTTGGCAGCCCTTGTTAGTCTGCTTTTTGCACACGTTTTACTTAATATTTGCACCTATTCTGCACTAGGTCCTAGTCTCCGATCAATATTTTGATCACTCCGGTCTCCCAACCAAACCCTCTTTTGCCCACCTTAACTGCGCTCCCTGCGTTGATCACCATGAATTTCGGGCTTCCCTAATTCCACATCCATAGGTAACAACAATGTACCAGTACTCCTAATCGCACAGTATTTTTTGAGCTCGATCCGAATCCCAGCGCCGCACAATCAGAGTCCATAGCGAAGACGTGGTAGGATCGCCAGTGGAAAGTCATGAAATACAATTTTGTCGAGCGACTTAAGTCGCTCAATTTTACTCAAGTCCATACAGTAGTTGATTGAAAGAAACCCTTCGGTATGGCTTTTCCCGGCTGTTTGATACGGTGCGGGGGTTAGTGGTGAGACTGGTTAACTTCCAAGGGCTCTAGGTGCGGTTCGAAATCCACTCTTTTCGATGCCGAGAAGGGTAGGTGTCTGAGATTCAGCATTAACGGAGTGATACATGACCCCAAAGTGTGATTCTGGCTGTTCAGCAACTTTCTGAAAGTGAACAGGTCGCCATACCTGTGACAGTGCGTTGCATTAGGGACTCTGAAAGAAATGACAGGGCACGGGACCTCTAGGAGATCTCTAATATGCAAGTTCAAATGTAAACTTCGGTGCTATTCATTTGAGCTATTCAAAGCGACTGTATTCCACCAAGCTCTCTCCCGCTATTCTCGCAATTATACCCCCATTCGAAGATCTTCGATATCAATGTAGGCATTTGCTTGTGCAGGAAAAGCCCTGGCAGTTTTAAGAAGTAGGTTCAATCCAGTCGCCTAAAGTCTTCGGTCATTGGTTAATTTACAGTATGTTTCGATAGATAGGTTGGAATTTCTGCGCAATCATTGAAGAAATAGCCCCTTTTCGTGAAATTTTTAGTGGTTGCTGGAGCAATATAGACGCCAACGCATAGACCAAAGTGGCAACATAATAAGGTTTTAGTCACCAAAATCACTATAAATGTTCTTAAGTATCTACTAAGCCTGCTGGAAACTCTGGTAATGTCCAGAGCATCGAACCGAATTACTGAAAAGCCCCCGCGACGGTCTCAGTAAAGCCCTCAGCCCACAATTCAGATTGCTTAGGAACTTCCAATTCCAAAATGCCTACCACGTGTTGATGTCGTAAGTTAATTCTCATGGTCTTTATTGCAACACCTCCAGAATCTCTGGTTTTATGCATCCCATCAATTGCTCAAGCCCCACTCTTGGCAGATTCCATATTGGGACCTCTCCGGCGTAAATCTTGGCAAGGGAATTAAATCGGCGGCGGTTTCTCCACAAAGTCTTCTCTCGGTTTCATCTTGGCTGATTTCAAGTTGAAGCTGTTTCCACTGGAGACTAGCCTACCATCTAGAAAGATTAGAGAAAACCTTCAACTTTCAATCGCCTGTCCAGGAAGCCGGGAGTAGATCGGTTGTGGTGCTGAAAAATCAAGGTCGCCCCAGTGCGCAGGGCTTTATTGTATAAGAACGCAATCGGTCCCATAATTTAGAAGAGGGTGAAGCTGGTATTGCATCGACTTTTATTCCACAATGCGGTCAAGTTCCACTGGGCCAATTACAATCACTGGCCTCAATATGACGACACACGCAGAGCAGACAGATACAATAACGAGTATTTCTGATCTGGAGAAACTTGGAAAGGAGCGTCCGCAATCTTTCTCAGGACTCTGGCCTGAGTTAGCGTTTTGTTTTTCGATAGTGATGTCCCAAATTCTAGCAGTGAGTCGACACACCGTATCTCAAAGCGCCAACATCTTACATATTGCTTCTACAGGAGTTCTACATATCAGGGTCTGGCGTTCTTCTCCCAACTCTCGTAGAAGAACTAGACATACCTGCAGGCTCCACAATATGGCCCACCACTGCCCTCTCCCTCGCCATCACTTCAACACTCCTCATATTCGGCCGCTTAATCGATATGTACGGTGGCTATATCATCTACAACGCAGGCGCCATCTGGCTAATTATTTCCTCGGTCCTCTGCGGCGTGTCACAGACATGGCTGATGTTGGTTGTCTGTCGAGCCCTGCAAGGGGTAGCTCTTGGAGCCCTGCTCCCATCTGGCATCATGATCCTGGGAAGTACATACCGCCCGGGACCGCGGAAGAACCTGGTGTTCAGCATTTACGGCGCATGCGCCGCGTTGGGTTTCTTCGCTGGATTTTTCGTCTCTGGAATATGTGGTCAGTACTTAAGTTGGAGATGGTATTTCTTTATTGGTGCGATATTATCGGTGATGATGGTGGCTTCGTCTCTTTTTTATATCCATCGTGATTACACCGACAAACGAAAGCTTGGCATACGGATGGATTGGTTTGGATTCTGCTTGTCCATCTCAGGAGCGACACTCTTCGTCTTCGCTATTGCGGATAGCTCGTACGCGCCACAAGGTTGGGGAACTCCATATATTCCGGTGCTTTTTACGATTGGTATCACCCTGCTGGGCGTCATGATGTATCTTGAAGTGTGGGTGGTTGATAACCCTTTGCTTCCTGGCGACATTTTCCGAGTCAAGTTTATGACCCCTTTGATATTGGCATTATTCTGTCTGTATGGAAGCCTGGGCATTTTCCTTTTATACGGAGTGTTGTAGTAAGTGTTTCCTTTCAATGGCTTACGCAACCATACGACCGCTAAATCTACACAGCATGTCAGTCTTCATGGGTGCCACTCCTCTTCAGCTCGTCGCTTGGACCGTTCCGATGGCAGGTGGCGGCCTCATCGTCTCACTTACAGGAGGATTCATTTTCCACAAAGTATCCGGTACAGTACTGATGATTATATCCTGTCTTGGATACATCGGCTCAGGACTGTTTTTTGCTATCATTCCCCTTGGCGGAAACTACTGGCTCTATGTGTTCCCAGCGATGATCTGCGGTACCATCGCCGTCGACATCAGTTTTAATCTCGCGAATATATTTATCACGACTAGCATGCCGACCGCAAAGCAGGGTTTGGCTGGTGCACTAATTTATTGTACCATGCATATGGGATTCGCGGTTATGCTGGGTTTTGCGGATATTGTTGAAACGCAGACGGAATATCTTGGTAAATGGAAGAGTTATAAGGTGGTGTTTATGTTTCAGACAGGACTTTGTGTTCTTGGTCTTTTGATTATTTTGGGATTCGTGAGGATTCGTCATGCCAAAAGTGAGTTGACGGCGGACGAGAAGGAGAAATTGGAGGGAGGTAAATTGTCCGCATGAACATCCTATTAGCTTTAATTCTGCACAGCCCATATATCTTCAACTCATTTGCCCCATCGATTGAGCGGAAACGTTTGTCAAATATTCAGTCTAACAATGGATATCATTACCGCTTCAAACCATTTTCCGTGCGCCATCTGAATGGACGTCTTAATACAGAATCAATGTGTCCATATGGCCTAGACTATCCAAAGTCCTTATCTTCAAACTATAGCTGGCTTCTCTAAGTCCCAGCAATTGGAGGACTTTATTAGTCACAGTTATAGTGTATACCTGTCTTAGCTATTTGAAATATGAAGTACTCTGCCTGCTGGAAAGTTGTGAAGGGAAAGGGATATGGCCGGAATGGAAACGTGGGCTATACTGTTTGCTCTTGATGTTGTCAAGTGGTTATCTTAGAGCGGGTGGAATAACTTGACCAGTTCAAGTATAGCTCCAGAGACTATGCCCAGTTGGGACGCATAATTAGGACTTGAGTCCTTTTGGGAGACTTTGTGTAGGCTGACTCTCATTCATGAGAACAGGTACTTTGTATCTCCAGCAGTAGTAGCCTGGTAGATCAGAATTAGGGGCTCGTAAAAGTGGTACTCCAGCGATTGGCGGAGCAAGCCCCAAAAAGCTAGTTTGTTGAGGGAGTCATGAAATTACGCGAGGAAGACTCCGAGTGCTAATACTGTTCCAACGTCCAATCAAACCTTACATCCGCTGGCAACCCACCCACGCTCCTTTTACCGCACCTTCCACCTTCGCGGAGCTAATTCAATGTACTGCGGTGATGGCCTCACTATAGGCTCTCCTTAATACAGAGTGCAGGCGGAAGATCGCTACGATACTAAGCATCGTAATGTTACGGACCTCAAGAGGCGCGGGGGCCGTAGTTATTTGAGGAGCAACCATGAACCAATCATCCCACGGACGCTAAGGATTAGCGTTGTCACGTGCATTCCGATATGCTTGGGCATGCCCGGAGGGGCCCAGGGCAGACATTCAGGGCGGGAGCCAGAAACAGCCTGCGACTAACCGTTACAATCAATACTCCATTACAGCATGAGAGGGTGAGCGAGACGCAGGGAACGGCTACCATTTTACCCGCACCAACATTATATCCTAAAAGTCAGAACCCGGCAAAACCCACGTGACGCCAAGAATATATTCCTACGGGGTAGGGAGGGAGTAGATCGACTCAAGGTCATCTGAACGGACGTCTCATTACAGAATCAATGTCTCCATATGGCCTAGACTATCTAGCCTCCGTATCTTCAAAGTATAGCTGGCTTCTATAAATTTTAGCAAATATTAGAGATAGTGAGTCACTTGGCCGAGCGTGGTGATTCAACAAGAGATCTATCTCCCAATCTCCCAGTGAATAATATGTATACCAGCGGCCACTTTACATATACTCTTTTTGTCACACTGAATAGAGAACATGACTTTCTGTGCCCATTTCACCAGCGGCTGAAGCTATAACAGCACGTACCCCTCGAGATTCTGGTGCGTTGGTTGGACTGGATAATATAAAACCGAGGATTGGATACACGATACTAGCCAAAATTGGTTAGCTGAGAGTACGTGTCTAACGCGTTATTCCAATCCATAAGCTTAATTTGCCGAAAGGAAGTGTATTTACCAAGTACATGGCTTCTAATCCGGGCCGGTAAAGGAAATGATAATTATTCATTGGGGGCTCTGGGAACATAATAAGCTATTTAGCGGGCCAAACATCTTCAGCAGTCAGGCAATGCTCACGACGAGAGTCAACGGTCCTCAATTACTAAGTGCAGCCAATCTTTACAGGTAAAGAAAGGTCTAGAAGGACGAAAAGGAGAGACGAAGTTGAAGGCCGATATATGAGGCCAAGGAATTGGTCTTGAGTCTATACTAGTTATCAAAGGTTTGCCAAGCCCTTTACACAGAACCACCTAGCGCAATGAGAGCCCATTCATCCTTCCATCCCCCCAACCAACATGGAATTCACCAGCTTCTGTTCTGCATGAGTTGCTTTAAAAACATCAAACTTCTCATCATGCCATTGATCAGCCCTTACCCATCGACCCTGACTATCCAAAAATTTTGCGTGGTTTTCTGGGCGGAGGAAGAAGGCGATGCTATACCGATCTGCAACGTTGTCAATTGGGACAACCTGATGGATACATGAGAAAAGTTTGTGACCGGAAGCAAAGCGTAACGAGTCTCCAACGTTGACAACCGCGTGTCCCTTTTTGGGCTCCACAAAACCCCAGGTATCAGAGCCGGGTGGAAGAACCTGAAGCCCCCATTGTTCAGAGAAGAGGAGAGTGAGGGATCCGATATCCGTGTGCTTCTGATGACCAATTTCCTTGCTCGATTGTGGATCACCGGGCAGGTACCGCATCATGGCGAGGGCGGAATTAGATTTGTGCTCGTTGCGGTGAGCATTCTCGAAGCGGGCTTCTCCACTCAGCCCAAAAGCGGTGGAGAGGCATGAGAGTATGGTTTTGGTAATGATGTTGGAGCCGCCGATGAAGTCAGAAAATGTTTTGATGTCACGAGTGTTGTGGACTATCGATGGGAGATTTGGATTTGGCATTCTAATCTCGTCTCTAGAGACTTGGAGAATCTCGTAGCCGTCCATTGTACCTTCCAGTACGCCGGTATGGTTACCAACTGGCTCGTAGCTTGAAATCGGTCAGCTGCATCTATGCAGGATGGCAGTGGAATGTCTTACCCATGTTCCAGGGATGGGAGGCCAATTTCATTCTTCTCGTCATGGGGCGAGTTGAAGAATCGACGCATGAGAGCTAGCAGTCGCTGATGGTCTTCCAACATCCGTTTTCCATCAATATCTTCAAGGTCAAGATAGAAAAATCCAGCATCTTGACAACATCGCAGGAGCTTTTTGATCTCAGTTTGCTCTTGAGAAAGAAGCCGGCTGAAATTTATTATTTCTAGCTCACAGACAGGTACTTCCTCGCCGTTGTAGGGGATACTTTTTCTCGGGATGGTGGCAATGGTCATGTTGGCTTGGTTCTTGCTGGTCTTAATTGATAGCGGGATCCTTTCGTGTCTGATGTTCTCATGGTTCGTCTGGGGAGAATCAAGATTAGCCTTTATACTTGGGGGAGACCATGGAGGAACTGCGTTAACGGGTTTCCTATCCTCGATCCTGATCAAAGCTCACATCTCACGGTAATCCTCTCCTCCTGTACAGTAACAACTCGCGCGTGCTCTCACTAACCAATTACAATTAATTGCACTCATGAAAGGTGTTCTATATATCTTTAACCGATCAAATAGTTCTCTACTTCTTAATTCCTTAGTGGAAAAGGATATTGGCTTGAGGTGGTGAGAGATCAAACATGCCAATACTTCAAATTCGAAGAACTGCTCAAAATACTAGTTTCATATTTAGTTATTCAAATGGTTGTTTGTGAATTAAAGGGCGATTAAACCCAAAACATACTGAGAATTTCATTAACTAAACCTGATCAAATTTGATTCAGATATGTTGTTTAGCTAGAATTGCTTGATTTATGTTATGTCCTAACTAGCTATTATGCCATTTCCAGAAAGTAAAACACGTTTTCTATGGAACATTAATTTTTCCAAAGACGCTTATTCTCATCTGGAGGTACAGTATACGTACTTTCTTGATATACATGTGCTGTAAGAGACAATTGACCAACTTCTCTCAGAACCTGTTAATGGTATACAGAAATGGATTTATGTAAGAGGAAAGAATATTTGCCCGGTGTATTTTTCCCTGTGCTTCTCACCCATCCTCATACAGTACTGGTCTCCTGGTCAAAGTCCAGGTAGACAACAAGCTTAACTGGGCCAGGAGGAAGATTACCACCGATGCCACCAATGTTCCTATTGGCATAGATATACGCATTCTGGACAAAAGAAGCATTGCTTGTAATAATTGAACATGTACCTGTGATACTATCACAGATTTTCATGCCCTGGACTTGTTGCCTTGCATATTGAGGAGCGATAGCCGATACGTCAAATCCCGACCATCCTGAATTTATGCTCGAACCGAAATCAAATTCTCCCCAGGTTGAAGAGTATCCTCCATTTGAGTCTACGGGTATATTTGGACCGGGAGAAGCTGTCCATCCGCCCTGGGAGTTCTCTTCAAAGGCTAAGTATCGGGTCTGCCCTTGGTCGATTGAAAACTCCTTGCATGCATTGCCAAACCATCCATCTAATTTCCCATCGGGGCCGATCTTATTCCAAACAACAACCGTCCACTGTCCACTTCTGGGGCCATTAAACTGGACAACATACTGGTGCTCTTTTGCGCTAGTAGAAGCAACCTCCATTATATTACTTCCATACGGATTACCAACATTACCTTTATATGCCACACCGCTATCAGTGTGTTCAGTCCGCTCGACTATACCCGCTTTATCGGACCTAACGAGAGACTGAATACGGACATTCATGGGATCTGTACTCCCTGAAATGGTGTCCCGGGGTTTGTCGGTTGTTGAGTGCCGACAACGATGTAGATGGGGGATAGCATTGGCGCAAATAGTACCCACAAGAACAAGAAGAACATGGAACTGCATACCGAATTGATTGTAATGAACACAACACGAGTTGAAACTCTGCCTTATTCATCCAGTGCATCGATACTACTGGGCAAGGATGTCTTTTGCCGGAGACTCATTTTCGGCAAATTATATAGGGAACTGTCATTAAATTTATCGATTATTTGTTTTAATGGACCAATAGGAGGTCAATTGACACTATCCCCACCATAAAATAATGCAACAAGCAGTTAACATGTTTATGAGTTATCAGGTATATGGTGGAAATCAGCCGAAAGTGGAGTACGTCTAATTCTGCGGGAGATGTCGCGACGAGATTTCATTTATATTTCACTTTCACACGATGGAACATGATGAAATGACTTATGTTAGCATTATGTTATATTATATTTTGTTGTTCTTGCTGAATTATGTCCTTTTAAGTCAACATTTGGGAGCATAGGACTGATGTATTAATGCAACCATATCAGGTCTTCCCAGTATCGTAATAATTTTCTATGGAACGGTGAATTTCAAAATTTCCCGTCCAATTGAAGCCATATTCTTCATTATATTTCCTTTGAAGAGAAATGAGTGATTTGGAGCCTGGCGATTTGGAACGTGTAGGGCGATCATTCAGTTTATTGGTTTGGATTTTAGTTCTTGCCGCACTTGGGATTCTATTTGGTAGCTGTACAGCCTCGTATTCACCTTCCCCGTTGTATTTCTTTAAAGTAACTGATATCTTACTCTTTCCTACCTGCAACTTCAGACTTCTGGCTAATAAACGTGGAGTTACAGCTTCAAACTAGTAATTTCAACGATAGTTCAGAAGACGAGATGGATCACACAATTCTTCCAATATTTTACGCTATAGGGCTCCTAGGGTTCTGTCAGGGCCATAAGGAGATCACACATTTTTCGAACTGCTCAGATCCCAGTTTTCAGTTCACCTTTGACCCGCTGAAAATCCTACAGTCCATCTCTAGTCAAACACGAATTATTCAAGAACCAGGCGCTCTTGAACAGTATCTAGATCAGCATGGATTTGCTAGATATTCCATTTGGGCCTACACAATTGGCCTCTTCACGACCTTCTTTGCTACCATGCTTGAACTTTTTCGCCCAAGGTTGCCGCGTACAAAATTCCTACACATTACTTTCGTCATTGTAGGTTATGTCTAATCTCACAAGTTACAGTACATAATACTGAATCAATATAAGCTCTCACCGTTATCAATTGCTGCGGCCTCGGTGAATTTATCTTTAATTTACTCTTTGATCGATCACAGTGTTCAAACCAATTTTCGATCATTTGTGACAGAGACGAGCTTCGGTTCATTATTCATTACAGCTTGGTCAGCAACCGGCCTATCTATTGCAGCATCGGTAGTGTGGTGTATATATACAAGTTGTTGCTGTATCTGATATTTTGTTGAAGATAACCTTTGGTTGACAAAACACTGGTAGCAGGATGGCCTTTCGGCGATGATAAATACTGTATTAATCGAATAGCATGTTGTTTTCTCTGTACATCCCTCCATAGAATGGGCAAGAATTTCGACTTTAGTCTCGTAACTTGGGCTGTGACTACGAATGAACGACAAGCCGTACGGTACAGTAGCAAGCATTTATTCTGGCTGTGAGACTATCAAAACTACTCTATCCAGCCTGCAAGCTTCGTCTGTCTACTGTAAATACCCAGTTCATTCATCTCCAGGAGGATCATGTTGGCACGCAGATGAATAAGCCATGTGAGTGCACCAATAGGAAATCTCAAAAGGTCTTGAATTGCTAACTGGCCCCTTTTTGGCAATAGGTCGGCATAAATATGACTAATCTAAGCGGTCATATAGTATCCCCGTTTTCCGAGTATCCACCAATCCTGGTGCCGCGACAGATCACTAGGCCGGGACATTAATTTTCCCATTCCGCGCACCGCCTCATTACCAAATCCTTTCCTTGTTAACACACCCCGTCGTATCATTTCACTTTTAACTCAAGTCAGCGAATACGGTAAAGTAAACCCCTGATACAATAATTGCTTCAATTCTATTTGAAATACTCTTGGGAGGGTTTATAATTATTCGGATATAGTAGACGGTAGTTTAGAGGTTAGGCCTTCTGGGCGGGGGTCCGAAAATTTAGGTCCCGTCAATGTATGGCTCACTCTCAAGTATCCCGCGGGGGCAGGCGGTTCCTGTATTGCTGGAGACGATTCAACCAGTTCCGAGAGTACGTGATTTCATTAGCATCAAACCTAGGTTTAGATAGACATGCACATTGACTGATTCTGGTTGCCTGGGCGCGCAAAACATGGGTCAAGAAAATGCGCAAAACGTTGCTCAAAATGTGTCACGCAAATCTATCTTCCGCATTGCATCACGATAATTCCGGCAAGGCAAACCCGTCCGGTAGACATTCCCTCTACGAAGCTTCGGGATTCGAAATTCGCCAGACTAGAAACGTAACCAAGTGTAATAAAGATTCAGCCAAAATTAAGTGCTGGGTTTTTCTTTGCGAAATCATCACTTCGTCTAAATCTTCGATCGGAGTTCCGAAGACAGCTTTTCGCGGAACGACCTGATCCACAACCCCGATTTCCGTTCAATTGAGAACTTGACCCACGCGGATAATGAAATACCGGTTGCGCTATTAAATGAGGTTGGGTTTTGAGCAATAGTCTTAAACCAAGACAATTAAACCTCCAGTTAATACGAGATTGTCTTAGGAGTCATTTAAAAGTAACGCCAATCATATTTTCCGTTTAAGCCACCTTGAAAGCCAACATGTAGCGCCAAATTAGGCATTCTGGTTGGCTTATCCTGATCCGTTAATGTTTTAACATGCAAGCGACTAATGGTAGACAGCAAAGCGCACTCATTCTTGGTCAATCTATAGGTTGATTCTATTGCTCGACTTTCAGATCTTTGTACACACACACACACACAATTCATTAACGCCCGGCGGCTAAACCGAAAGGGCAACTGAAACTGATCTATCAATACATAGCCCATTATATATATGCGGTGTCTCCTTCAAGCCCATACATGGATCTTTGCAGTATATGTCCTCTCAGCTGACAATATCATAGGTGATCCCTGTGGGTTAGTAATTTCGGTAGTAGACTGGCTTGAAGGCGCTTCTTCAAGTGTTCAACATCCTATCTTCGGCAGTTGAAGCGCGTCCACCATTTGTGGCACAAGGTGATAGGTGTAGGTTGGTGAAGGGGGAGGAGGGTGTCGTTGTGTAGGTTAACGTGGTTAGGTGGCGTCGAGTCGGCCCGTGGCGATCGCGAAACGTATTGAGGCTCGCACCGCTTCCACGTTCGGCATCCATCGCTGATTGTCCGAGGGCGATTTCCCGCCCAGGAAGAAGGAGAGATTGCCCCGGTGAGTTTGACTAGTCTGCAGCAATGCTATTCGTTGTGTGGTCCACTTCCGACATCGAAAGAGGAAGTGTTCCACCGTCTCTCTTGCTTGTCCACATGCACACTGGTCCGAGTCTGCAACGTTGATCCGACAGAGATAGCTATTGAGTCTGGCCATGCCAGTCCGGAGTTGGGCCAGCACGCTCGCTTCTTTCCACGATAATCGATCATACAGCTGTCGAGTGTGTTTCCCTGGCAGTGCTGCATCTACTCGTTTCACGTGTCTTCCTACGTTCTCCGGCAAGTCATTGCTGGGAACTGCATGAGACCGAGCGATCTTCAGTGTTGTCGACTTCATTCTAGGGGCAGATTTTTGCAGGGCGGCATCCTTCTGGGTCGCGGTCCTGGCTTGCTCTTTGGCTAGACCTAGCAGTTTATTGTCCGCGCTGGACGGGACCCAGAGGATATTGATGTGGTTTCCGTTTCTCCGCAGCCTTTTCATCAACTTGTACGATTGGCAGACGAACTCCTGCCCCGACTGTTGCCGAGGATTCCTCATCGTGAGGGCCGCTGCTTTGTTACTCGTGAGCAGCGTGATCCTGTAGTCTTTCAGTCCCACTAGCATGTTCAATGTGTGTGCCAGTGCTGCCAGCTCCGCGGAGAACGGGTTTTGCTCTAATCTTGGGCCTAGTGTCGTGGAGAAGGTCTTCAGTTTCAGCTTTCGATATCGAGGTGGCTGTTTCTTGATCGCCACCCCAAAACCTACGAGGCCGTTTCGTGCTGAACTGCTGACCGCAACTTGCAGTGATCCGCCCGGTACGGTGTGCGAGTGCGGCATTGCTTCAACATCGCTCTGTATGCGAGTCTCCCAGGGTGCCAACACGAACGGATTGATGGTTTCCAGCGTCTCCATCTCAATGTTTTTCAGCGCGTCCGCTACTTGGTACAGCGGCGACCGGTGGTATCTCCTGAACTTCTTCATGCAGGCTGTACTCCTGCGCAGCGGGTGGGTTTCTGGAAGGGTGTGAATGTCCGTCCACATTTTCACGGCCCGTCTCCAAAAACGGTGTTGTGCGGTGGCAATATGAGCCTCGGCCTCCGCTACGCTGGTCGCAACGGTGAGAAATGTCCCGACAATTGCTTGCGCTCCTACCCTTTGGACTCGATTGATCGGTCCGCTGGCCTTGTCCTTGCAGGCGTGCATCCAGACACTAGAAGCATAGTCTACCACTGGAGCCACTGTTGATGTGAACAGCTGTCTTGCGGTTGCTGGTGTTAGGCCGCGAAGTCGTCGAAGCTCCATCGCTGCCTCTAGGCCTTTAGATGCCGCCCTCGCGATATGTTCCTTGTACTTGAGTCTTGTGTCCATGAGAACGCCCAGGATCTTGACATGATCTCTAGGCATAACGGTCTGTCCCTT